GAACAAATTACCTTTGTATAAAAAAAATATATAAAATTACAAAACGACGGAGGGAGTAACGGTTACCTTATGGTCACTAGACAAGGCCAAGGCAACACCACCTCTCGACAAAACAGCCCTACAATCACCGCAATTGCCCACCACCACCTGATCCTCCGTCACCAACGCCACCACCGCCGTAGCCCCAACCGTCTTGGCCGCCGCAATCCCGCTCACCTCCTCATCCATTTTACCAAAACACCCCTCCATCACCCTCTCCCAATCCCAATCCACCGGATCTTTCTTCTTATTATTATTACTATTATTAATCCTTTCCAGTTCCACTGCCTCCGCCACCAACTCATGCATCCTATCTCTGCAAGCCCTCGCCACGTCAGCCCCACCGTGCCCGTCATACACCCCAAAGAAGTCAAACTTCCCACGTGATCCGTTCACCGCAAACCCTACCTCAGCTCTCACTGCATCTTCCATCTCCTTCCTCCTCCCCTGCACCGAAACGACGCCGTACGTACCCCTTCCCAACATTTCCAAACTCTCACGACCACTCGTTTTCCGTCTCTCGTCTGATCCGGAACCGGAACTACTCGACAATACGATGTCGTTTTCTGTAGACGAAAATGACACAGATAAAACCTTAACCGGAACACCAACATCTTTCTCTTCTCTCTTCAACTCCGAAGAGCCATATTCCTTGTCGCCGCCGGTGATCTCCACCTCGACCTTCGTTTGACACGTGTACTTCAGTCGCCGTACTTTGAGTCGCTTTCTGCTGCCGTTCTTGGTTTCGATAACGAAGCTCTGTTGTCTCATCTCGCCGCCCGACTCTAACATCAAGTGAAGGCTTCTTCTTGTTCAATCTCCCTCCAGCCTCTCTGCCTCAGATATGCACCAAAAAGCTGAGCGACAAGCGACCTTCTAGTAATGAAGGAGACGTAAGCAAGCTTCGCATCTCAGCCGTTGAAATGTTTTTTGCCGTTGGATGCGCGCCAGACGTGGTAACACAGACCACTGACTTGGATTTTGATAGAGAGAGACGTGGACGGTGAAGATGCGGTCCAGGACACGTGGAGCGAAGTATGTATGGGTATTGATTCGGATTGGTGGAAGATTTTTGTGCAGGTGGGGGCTCACTTGCGGTCTCCTCTAGAAATGAGTACGTGGCGGTTCGTCAGGCAATGCGGTGGTGAATTGCTCTTTTACTTTTCCACAGTATGTTTCGGTTCTCTGACAAGAATGTTGACTTGTGAAAAATGTGGCGACACGTGTCGGAGTTGGACCTCGTACCTTGTGTTGTTGCCGATTATCGTGTCGTGCTTGGAGAGTTAAATATTTAGTAAAGGGATAAAAACTATTATTAATTCCCGTGTAGAGGGGTTAGATTAGAAGAAAAAAATATCTTAGGTTTGCGCGGGGAACACAACACATGGGCACATCTATACGGCTAGATCGCTGCTGGTGAAAATCAAAAGCATGGTGGTCACCAAATAATTGTTGTGTTGTTTAATGAAGTAGGGCAATCTTTTTAAGATAGAAGTTGTAACCAAATATCTTTTTCACATTTAATAAATTAAATAATTTTTTACAAATAGACCCATTCTCACATGATATTTTATAAAAAAGTCATTCAAATTCAATACTTTACAAAATCTTCTTACTGTATTTTCAAGTGAAAAGAATTACAACGCACGAATACGAATGAGAAAATATCAAGTAGTTAGTTGATGACTATTTTCTCCAAATAAGTTCTTTAAAGATTTTTATATAAATTGTCATCGTCATAATGATTCCTTATATTTTGGTTTGTGGTAGTTAATCGCTATCAATAATTGTTAGCAAAAAAAATCATGCATTCATCAATCACGTGTCACGTATGGAAGGGCAGCTTTTGATGACAAAAATTGGCCATGATGAATGAGTGCTTGTGGTCCTTTTCAAGGAATCTCAATCTAGTGACGAATCGATCGACTTTGCTCTCGATTTTGTGTTGACACAATTATAGGTGGATGGATGTAAAACAAATGTAACCCCAGGCCATGCGCCATCTAATTTGGGCTTTTGGGCTGTGGGATTCGGATCAAAACAAGTCCATGTTTTAGAAAGAGAAACCTCATTCTTAATCTTATGAAACAAAATAACAAAACTAACTAGTTGCCCTTGCCTTGACAGACACTCACTCAATATTCAATTTGCACCTGCAATCAAAATTGATTGCTGTAGATTTCTGATGCAGGTGTATTACTTGAAGTGTCCTCCCCAACTTTCTCTAATGGCGTTTCTTGTGGATATAAGAAGGGTTTCGGAGGCATTTGGAGGCTCTCGATTTCTCCTTCAAGCATCTCTACCACTTTATCCATTGAAGGACGTTCGTTAGGCTTCATTTGTATGCACCACAATGCCACTATGATCATCTTCCTTATGATTTTATTTTCCTCCTCAGTGGCGTCTCCCATGTTTATGTCGTTTCCTTCACTCAATTGGTCATAAACCCACGTCGGAAAGTAGATTTGACTCGAATGCTCTATGCTTGCATTTAAATTCTTCCTTCTTCCAGCCGTTTCCATCAATAACATTCCAAAACTATATACATCAGCCTTGTATGAAACACCTCCAATGTTTTTATAGAATAACTCGGGAGCTATGTATCCTATGGTTCCTCTTGCCGCAGTCAAAGACACAATGCTATTGTCTAATGGGCATAGCCTTGCTAACCCAAAATCAGAAACTTTGGGAGTAAAATTCTCATCTAGAAGAATGTTATGAGGCTTGATGTCAAAGTGCAAAATTTGCATTTCACACCCTCGATGGAGATATTCAATACCACGAGCCACTCCGAGCGCGATTTAAAACATTTTCTCATAACTTAAGGAGATAAGTACTCCCGATCCTGATTGAGAAAATATATATTTTTCAAGTGATCCGTTGGGCATGAAATCATATATAAGGGCACGTTTTGAACCTTCAACAGAAAATCCAATAAGTTGCACCACGTTAACATGGTGAATTCTTCCGATTGTGGCAACTTCGTTGATAAATTCTTGGCCATTAGCTTTGGACTTACCCAACATCTTGACGGCTACAAGATGACCGCTACGGAGTTTTGCCTTGTATACAGTGCCATAGCCTCCTTCACCCAATTTGTCCTTGAAACCTTTGGCCATTTTTTTGATGTCCGAGTAAGAATACCTCACTGGCATGAGATTATAATTGCTCTGCAGAAAGTCTTCTATATTGTCGTACATGGATAAGTGTCTCCTTCGCCATTTGTATATCAGTAACGCAGCTAGACAGGGATAGCCAAATAAAAACTTTGCTGCTTGGTAAAGTCCTGTTTGGCCATATATGGTCATGTTTGTAAAATCGAATATTTCAAAATCGGCTTATATGATGAATTTGTGTTTCAACGATCAACAAGACAAACAAAATACATATATGTAAATATATAAGTAGTCTCTTACCGAGGTAACTGATTAAACAGAGCAGAAGCCGAGATGGATAAATTTCGCTATAAGTTATAAAGTCACGCTGATCAAGGTTGAAGAAAGAATATAGAGGGGCGATAAGTCTTTCTGCAACACAAGTCATGTAGAAATATTCGATCTAATTCAGGTTTTATGATAATGGAAACTGGTTTATATGGGAGGAAGGAGAGACACTTACCTAGTTTAAAGAGTATGGACAGTATGATCTTCTTGTACCAAACTTCTACATCATTGCAAAAGTATACAAACAACAATATTAGCATATTGAATAATAGAAGAAAAAGAAAAGTTGATTGATCTTACTGCAGGCTCCTTCTATTTATTTGTTTGTCAGAAAGAAAATAGAATAGGTGTACCTTGGTGTCTCCCATGCCGCCCCAAGCAGTCGTAGAAGTCGGCCACGCATGTTGTGCAATTTGGTAAGCACCATCGTTCTTCAACCCATGAGAGTTGGAAGCCCTGCGCTATTAGATTATGTATGGCTTCACATGAGCTCAAATAGTCGTCTGAATCTGATCTTGAACTTGAGGCCATAACCATTTGTGTTATTTTGCAGGTCTCCCCGAGATCCAATGAGCTTATGAAGTCATTCAAGCCAACCATGAAATAAGAATACATGCTTATTAAATTACTAGTATTGGAAATATTGGAAGAAGAGGAGCATGGAGCTGTTTCAACAAAACCAGAAAAGTTCATTGGTTTTGCACAGTTGAGAGAAACTATAGACACTATGAATTCTTCATCTTCTCGGTTGTAGTTATCTTCTAAAGTGGTATAAGGATCTCCATAACTAAAGTTGAAGCTGGTTAAAGAGTGAGTTGGGTTGGAGAAGTACTTGTTGTCTTTCATCTTCTTCTTCTGATCAACAACACCAGCATCCACAAGTCGGATGGTGAAGTTGTTGTAATGGATAGCCCGCACGTAATACTTTCCTGAATACAAGTATAATATTGTCATACATGTACCAGTAGTATTTGTCTCACAAGATAGCTCATACGTTTGGTTGCCACAGTGTGGAGGATCTCCTTTTATTCGAAATGGAGAGCTTATGTTGATATTACCACAAGAAAGGGTGCAATCAGAATTCGTTTGTGAATGAATTAATAGAGGAAGAAGGAGGAGGAGGAGGAGCAGGAGACGGAGACTTCGGTTAGACATATTGGTGAGGGAATAGTAGTGGGGAGCCTGCCATGGCCAATTTAATATAAGCTCTTTCAAAGAAAAAAAATATATATTTATGGAATAAAACTGCATGAGATGAGACAATAACTAGGTCCAGCCATATCGTGATCATGCATGATTAACAATTAATTAACACAGGAAAGCCATTTTCAATCGGTAAGTTCATGGAAGCAGCAGTAGTATACGTACTGATCCATGGATCTTACTGGTATATACGTATTATAATTTATTAAAGCAATTTACATCTTTATTTATAATCCAATGATCATAGCAGATGACAAGACAACTCCCGTATGCAATTATCAGTTTTTTTTTTCTTCTCATAATTACTAGAAAGAAATGGTTTTGATAAAATATTTCTTATGCTGGTTGCTCATACTCATAGTAGCAGAAGTAGATCATCATGTTCTGGTACATGGCGCGGGCGCAGTATTAGGCCTTGGAGATTGCGCAGAAACAAGATGTAAACACGACGGACCAGCCATCCGATTCCCATTCCGACTCAAAGGCAGGCAGCCAATCCATTGTGGTTACAAGGGCTTTGATCTATCATGCACCAATGACAACCAAACTGTGCTCGAGATGATGATCATGCCGTCATCGTCCTCAGCTAATCATGATAAGCAGCATGTCTTGGTTAAAAAGATTAATTACACAACTCAGGAAATTGAAATACATTACCAAATTGGTTGCCCGCCGGGGCTGATTTTTAACCTCAATTTATCTTCTTCTCCCTTTGAATTCAAAGACTTTAATTATACCTTATTCAGTTGTCCATCATCTGTACCATATTTATCGACCGGTTCTTATGATTGTCTGACGAAACTGAGCCCTTGCCTTGGAAATATTAATAACCAGACTAATTATTATGCTATGCTTGGTGGATGTTCCATTAGTAGAATGCCCCTGGTGTCTTGTACCAAGGTGCTTGACTACACATCAGTTCCAGATCTGTTTACCATCAAACAGGCCAATATTCTGAAGCTGCTCTGGTTCATACCTGATTGTCGACGTTGCGAAGCTTTGGGCAAGGCATGTAGATTCAAGGATGAATTTTATTCCACACAAAAAAATCACACTGAAACTCAATGTTACGTGCTCAAAGGTATGCATATGAACTAGCTAAGCTAACATGAAAAAAAAAATTCAGGATTGATCAATCAGCATATATAAGTACTAATTATTTCGATCGTAAACAACTTTTACAGGTCCTAAACGTCCAAGGGTAACGTTAAGGATATTAGGTAAGTTATGTGTAAGCTTTTTGCTTTTTCTGTCTTGCTTCTTTTTTATTTTTTATTTTTTTTGGAGAGGGCTGGGGGATGTGTGTTCTAAAGGAGACAATTAAGACACTAATTAATTAATTTTTTTTACTCTTTTAATTTTGCAGGTATTTGTGCAGTTTCAGTGGTTGCTATAGTAACAGGGATTGTAATCTCTTATGTCTATAGCTCTACCAAAACAGAGAAAGAAAGCCAGCTAAGAATTGAAAGATTTCTGGATGATTACAGAGCTCTCAAGCCAAGCAGATACTCTTATGCTGATATTAAGAGGATGACAAACAAATTTAAGGACAAGTTGGGCCAAGGGGCCTATGGAACAGTGTTCAAAGGAAAGCTTTCCTCTGAATTGCTTGTTGCTGTGAAAATCCTGAGCAACTCAAATGAAAAAGCAGGGGAGGATTTCATCAATGAAGTTGGAACAATGGGTCGAATCCACCATGTCAATGTGGTCCGCTTGGTTGGCTTCTGCGCCGACGGATTTATACGAGCTCTTGTCTATGATTTCCTACCAAATGGTTCACTGCAAAATTTCATATCATCATCAGCAGCAGCAGCAGATCATAGGAGCAGAAATGATAATTCTAATTTCCTTGGTTGGGATAAGTTGCAAGATATTGCTTTAGGTATAGCCAAAGGAATTGAATATCTTCACCAGGGGTGTGACCAGCAAATTCTCCATTTTGATATCAAGCCCCATAATGTGTTGCTGGATCAGAATTTTACCCCAAAAGTTTGTGACTTTGGTCTAGCCAAGTTGTGCTCTAAGGATCAAAGTGCAATATCCATGACTACAGCAAGGGGGACCATGGGCTACATTGCGCCCGAAGTCTTCTCTAGAAACTTTGGACATGTGTCCCATAAGTCGGATGTCTATAGTTTTGGAACATTGTTGCTTGAAATGGTCGGGGGAAGAAAGAATTTTAAAGTTGCAGAGGACGACGAATCGAGTACGAGCCAAGTCTACTTCCCAAAATGGATCTATAACCTTTTAGAACAAGATCAGGAGGACCTACGGATCCATATTGAGGACGAAGGAGATGTTAAAATTGCAAGGAAGCTTGCAATTGTGGGTCTTTGGTGCATCCAATGGTACCCACTAGACCGTCCTTCCATGAAAATTGTTGTTGAAATGTTGGAAAGACAAGATGACAAGTTAATCATGCCTCCCAATCCTTTTGCCTCTACTTCGAATTAAATGAGAATTATTGTATATGTTATGTTGTTGGAACACTCTTAACTTTTTTGTTCGGTTTTAGAATAAGATGATTGTGAATAAACTTTAGTTCTTCTTGAGCTCGGCGTATGGATGAAATCGAAACGAAAGGATATATTAATAAATAAAAAGGAGGCTACAGAGGGTAAAAACAAGGGGAACAGAAGAGACGACGAACAATAGACTACGCAGGTCTGGTGAATTATTGATGATTAAGTATTCATCTTATCCTAATCTTTGTTTTTGATGTCTCTGTTAAGGAAAAAGATAATTGTTGACTTGAAAATTTCTTATGGTCTTCGGCACCTCAATCACGTCCTTTATTTGTATGTTTGAAAATTATTAAAGAAAAATAAAAACGAAGTTACAATCAATATTAATTTTAAAAAGAGTTAATGCTCCTTTTAATTTTATTTGTTTACTTTCTTAATCTATAAATATATATATTTATGGGGTTTTGTTTATTTCATCTTTGAACTGTGGTTTTTGTTCATCAATTTAAGAAGAAACTTTAATCTTGCACTCACACAAAAAAAGAAAAAAGAAAAAAAGAATTATGTACAATTTTTGGGGAAAAAGAAAGGGCACAAGACTTGGCAGAAAAATACGATGAAACATCCATTGTGTTAGAAAAAAGAAAAAAGAATTATGTACAATTTTTGGGGAAAAAGAAAGGGCACAAGACTTGGCAGAAAAATACGATGAAACATCCATTGTGTGGTTGGTGTCATGGTGGAGAATTCCTACAAATAGGGCAGGTAGCATTCATTTGAAGCCATTCATCAATGCAATCAGCATGGAAGCAATGTTGGCATTTGGGTATGGTCTTCAATGTCTCCTTTGGCCGGTACTCCGACAAGCATATCGGGCACGTGTTATCGTCGGGCTTTGGTAGTCGCCGGCTTTCGCCAAGGATGATTTTCGGGTAGGCCTCGAGCCTGGGCCTATCGAGGCCCATAACGATAGTGGGCTGTGGAGCCACTATTGTATTAAATTCCGGCAGAGTTCTGCGTCCCCTTGTGAAAGACTTGACCTTACTACAGACACAACATAAAAGCCCCAAAATGCACGAGATTGCTGGCACTCCAACACCCACAGTAATGGCATACCGGGCGCTCCTTGGAATTCCTGAATTAGCAATTCGGATTTACATTAGATTAGAAAGTGAAAACAGAGTTTAGTGACGTGCATGCAAGTTGAACCGATATTGAAGCACAAATTAAGTACTTGGTGGAAAAAGATTAAACCATGATTGACATCTGTGGTAAAGTGTGTTGACCCAAAAAAAAGTCAACCACAACGAAAGCTATGATATGATGGAACATGATTGCAGTGTGGAAAGCGTTGAGCGCACTTCAATAGAGGACGAACCGAAAGCTCTAAGAGCATCTATAATGGGTTCTTAAACCATCTCTTAGGACAAATTTTAAGGAGGAATATTTTATGAGTATTTTAAACCTTTAATTAATGCTACAATTTTTTATATTAATATATTTTTTTTATAATAAAGATGGACCAATTAAAAAAGAGTTATAGCATTTATGACTCCCTAAACTATTGGAGTTAAAATTTTATAAAGAGCTTCTAAAATAATTTTTATAGGTTTTTAGCTAAATTTTAACTAAAAAATAGACAGCATGATTGTAGATGCTCTAATTACTCCAGAAATCAACTTTGGGCGCATTTGGTTTGCTTAGTAAATTAAAACCAGATTAATATTGTTGACTAGACCCATTAAATTAGTACATAAATATCACCTAAATGTCCATTCAGAGAAGTTTGTATGCTTACTTACAAACATTATATTCTTTCCATTCAACTCGTTTATCATTTTGCTACTGTTCCATGATTCCATCAAACAACATGTGAATCAATCTCGACAATTACTTTGAGCACAAACTTGACATGAAATTTCATAAGATTCTCATAAGCAAAGACTCCAACTCCAACTGTAGATGTTGGAAATAAATGTTTTACCACTAAAACTATAACTCGAAACACCAAACATGAACTCAGCAACAACTTTATTCATGAGATTAGGAGATTAGGAGCGTGTAATATTGAAGTTATATATGGTATTAATGTTACCTCGTTGAGGAAGGTTTGAGCAAACAACTTGGTGACTTGAATTGGTCTTGAACCCACACTGGCCACCACGCGCCGCGCACCTGCCGCACCCGGGCATGTCCCACGTCAGCCGGAGATGATCAGTCAGGTCCGACGACATAACCTCGTCGTACAACGGAACGTCAACCGGAACAACAAAGGTACCAGTTCGATTGCATGTGGACGAAGACGACAAATAATCAATCACCTTGGTAGAAGTGGTAGCAAAAACTGTGTACGTAGAACCGCTCAGGCAAGCAATTGGGTTGAGTTTGTACTTCAAATAATCCAACGAGCAATTGAAGAACGTGAAGCTTTCGTTTGTCACGCCGTGAAATGGAGAGCCCGTGAGGTTGAGCGTCAGAATTCGCTGCGGGAGGCAGTTGTTTGGATCGTTGATCCATATTTGTTGTTCCGCATAGTCTATGCCTTGGATAGTGAAATCTCCGGAATATGGGAAGTTGAGGATTGTTTGATTGGTGATGTCACAGGATAGTTCAAACCCCGGATATGTACATGACTGTGGCTGGCTTTTTGTTATCCCAAACGGGAATTTAATGTTTGGCTCGCCCTTGAAGCAAACATCCTCCTGCAAGCAATTTTCTGAGCTGCTGCTTGCAAGGTATGAGAATGACAAGAAGAAGAGAAAGGAGGAGAAGATGGCTATGAAAATATTCATTTTTTTGCTACTTGGAAAATTGGAAATTGGAATAGCAGGGACACAATTGCTAGACTTGCAATTCCAAATGTATATATCGCATTATATCATGTTTGACTTTATAGAATAAAGGCCAAGTCTTCATTCACTTTTGTTTACTAAACTATATAAAAATGGAAGGCCAATCAGCCATCAAAGGGAAAGGCGGAGATATATTGATTGTGAGTGGAATTTGTGGGCATTATCTATCTCACTGCAGCAATCTTGCTAGCTAGTAAGACCTGTTCAATTCATGTGGAAATTACAAGATGGCTTTTAATTTCAAACCAAAAAACAAAAACTTGTATTGTTGTTTTTTGTCACATATATTAAAGATAAGAGAGAGAGAGAGAGAGAGAGAGAGAGAGAGAGAGAGTGAGTTAGGCCTAAATGGCTGCAGGGATTATGATATTTGACATTTCAACTTGGCATACTAATACTATCCTGAATTTAAAACCAATTACGGCTTGAATTATTGATTTCTACAACATATATTAATATTCTGGTAGATAATGGCTGCTGCCATTTGTGATATGTGACATTTGGAATTGACATGCTCCACTACTACTAGAGAGAATAACGATTCAATCCTATTGCATGGAGCACCCAAGCACAACTTACTGTGCCATCCCATCAGTTGCAAATCGATATTTTTAATTTTTCCGAACAACTTAGCTATATACGATGTATATAAACGACAAACGTTAAAATTTATCTTATAAATAAACATGTTTTGTATGCCGAGAAAAATAACAATACAAAGTAGGCTGTTACGAGTTTAGGAGTAAATCTTCCACAAATGCACAGTTGGGAGAGATGTGGTCATAACTTTGATTGTCAAACCACTAAGCAACAATCTTCAACCTATTTTGCGTCATCCTGAGGCATGATTCATGAACAGATTGATATGGTCAGCTATTCAAATCAAAGTATTATAATATTAGAGAATAAATAGAGATAGCCAGGGGCCAAGTTGCATTGATGAACGTATATGGCACCCCGCAATCCGTTTGCTGGTTTATGTCAAAATTGATTGATCATTCGGAAAAATCAACGGTTGTTGTTTATCCAAAAATACGGGGCCCACTTGTGTGAAATTTGGGCATTGGCCAACTGTCTGTCTGTCTGTAGCAATCCTGTTGTTGGTAAGACCTGTTCAAAGTAGTCACTTGTAGGCTACACGTGGTCAATAATCATAATCAATTTATGATGACAAAAACACACACAAAAAAGAAAAGAGAAGGAAGATATTTATTTATAGATGAATCATGATCATGAATGATTGTTTAATATAAACCGATCGAAGAGAAATTAAAATTGAAATAATTATCAAACGGGTCAATAGTATGCAAATTGCATGTCAACATTACAATTAAACTTATCCTTTCTTACAGAAAATGTCAACATTTGCTATTGCTTTCTCATTCTCGTTGTGGTGTGGGGTTGATATTGATTGATTCTCATTCTCGGTCTCCAAAACAATTGCTTTTGCTTCTGACCAAAAGAATTCATTTTCTTCTAAACTGACAAAACCCAGTTCGCAAACCCACTTCAACTCTTTTCGTTGAGTTTTTTTCACCACAAAAATAACATAACTTAAAGGAGGCAGGCATTGCTGCAGGTCCAGTTTCAATTTTGTTTCAGGCTCACGATACGGTCTCATCTAAGGACCAATGTTATAGGTGTACAGAACCATAGCCCAAAGCCCCAACCGTGTATAGACTCATCAAGCCCAAACCTAACTCAGGCAACGTCACTTTACAAGTTTCTTCTTCTGGGTTTCATTTTCGGTGCCGAAGCAAAACAAACCCAGCGAATCAAAGCGAATAACCAAAGATTTCGATTACGAATATTAATTTTATTTCACTGATCCAATTTCAAACTTAAAAACAACCATTTCACTAAACAATTAAACCATCCATAAAAGTAACAAAATTTGCATAACATATTGCAATTATTATTTCATCAAATCTGGACCCCCAAAGAAACTCAAAAATCAGAGCACCGACCGTTTCGCTCCCAATCGCCGAATCGGGTGGGCTCTGGCCCTTTGGGCCCGCCGATCTCACCCGTCTCTTTATTCATATACCCATCGTCTTCATCATCATCTTCTTCTTCTTCCCCGTCATCAGCTTGATTTTCAGTGCTTTCAAGTTTTTCGTCGGTGGGCTCTCTTTGTTCCTTGCTGGGGTTTTCGTGCTGGGATTGAGATTGCGTAGCCGATGAACACAAGAGTCGACTCACTGAGTTGATGGCGGCACGAGTTAGAGGCTCGGCTCTACTAGGGGTTGAGAGAACGGTCGTTGATGAGAATAGACGGCCTAGATTGATCGCCATCTTTTCTTTCGTTCGTTTGTTCCTTGGTTCGTTCGTTCTTTTTTCTTCTTTCTTCTTCTCTGCAAGAAAAAAGGAAATAGAAGTGCGAGAAGACAAGGCAGGGAGGGAATGCTATTGTTGTGGCAACCAAACGGCGTCGTGTCGTGGAGTTGTGAAGCCACGTGGTGGTTGTCTAAATTAGATTGGGCCACCCCTATTGGGCCCAAATGGGCTTCTTCTAATGGCAGGGGGTCCAGAAACCCAAAAAGATCGTCCGAAGATAATTAAATTTATCAAATAATAAATGAAGATCAACCAAGAAATTCCAACATGTGGTGGATAGATATAAGTTATTATAAGACCCAAACACAAAACTGGGAGACAAGTTTAATTTAAGTAGAGAGAAGAGAGAGAAGAAAAAAAAGGAAAATGGGTGGGGAAGGGCATATTTTGAAGAGAATTGCACGCATTAAATTCCCACAAAGACACCCAGAATCATCAACCTCAGGTATGTATCACTTTCTATGCATACTTGTTTCAGTGTGACATGTCTTCTCACTCTGTTTTTCATGTTCTTGACATTATTTGCCCTTTGTCAAATAAAACTTGGTATTATATTTCTTATGATTATCTTAGCCTCCTGTATCAGTTCATACGTATGCAAACAATTTTATCTTATAATGTCATCTAAATCCATGGATTTTGGGATCCATCCATTCAAATAGAACCTTAGCATGGCATTTATAGGAATACAGATACAGTGTATGGATCTGTTGTGCTAACTTTTGGTTGTGTTGTGTTTCTTTTCATTGGCATTATGATAAATTGTCGATAATGTGTGTGTTTAGGTTCTACTTGTTCACAAGCTCAGCATGAAACTGAAAGTCTAGGGTCAGATGTCCCAGCACCACCCAAAAACACTGCAGCGGGAGGGAAAGCTTCTCTTCAGCCAGAACGTACACCTGTCTTGGCCAAGGAAATAGAAGCCATTCTAGTGAGAGCAAAATTTTATACATATATCCACAGACACAAGAGGTACTAGTATTTGAGAAATCGAAAAGTTGGGTTATGTTGACTTGCTTTGTTTATTTTGCAGTTGGGTGGATGCATTTGAATTTGAATTTGATGATGGAGGAGAAAATGGAGAAACACGGTGTTTCAAAATGACAAGTTGGGAGTGTTGTTGGGTTGCAGAGAAAGATGATGTCTTCTTCATGTCTTGTTATTAAGATATGCACAAAAAAACTTGTTGGCCTTTGATGCATTGCAATTCGATTGATGTTCTGTGAGCGCCAGTTTGGTTGATTTTCTGCTCTTAAACATAATAATAATTCCCCATCATATATATAATCTTAAATAATTGGTGAAGAACCAAAACTGTACATTATTCCTTTAAAACAACCACGCAAAAAAGACCCGGGTAAAACTATAAACAAAGAAATACTCTAAAACCTATACCCAGGCTCCGCTGAAAAAACTACTTTCATTATGCCAGAATAGAAAGGCTTTGTTGCCCCCAAAGTGAAGCCACCTCCTGCTTCTGCTGTCCCTTCTGGCCTCAGCTCCATCGCATCACGAACAAAGTGGTTCACCCATGAGGCTAATCAATCTTGAAACTTCCTTCCAAAATTGAAACAAGCCATATGTTTCTGTGTCGCTGTCACTGTATTTGCTTGCTGCTGTCTTGGTTCTTTAGTGAAAATCTTGATGATCATGTCATCTATGTCATCACTGTGTGTTTGCTACTACCTGTGCTCCTCTTGCTAAGATCTTGATGCCTCTTCAAAATATTTTCATGGCTCCCATTGCTAATGGTGTGGTCTTCTTCTTCCTCAATGGAGAGGTATTTGTCAACCTGTGCAGCAGCTTGCCGCCCCTCTGAGATTGCCCACACCACCAGGGATTGACCACGCCGGCAGTCCCCAGCTGCAAATACCCCATCCACATTGGTTGAGAACCGACCATACTCCGCCTTGTAGTTTGAGCGATTGTCACGCTCCAACCCCAACTTCTCTGCTACCTTCTGCCAAACCAAACACAAAGTAACCAGTGAGAAGAAGAAGAAAAAACATGATAAATATTTTACATAATGTATTTGAACTTTTAAGCAACTTGAACCAGTGGAATAGCAATTGAAGATACTAACCGCCTCAGGTCCAAGGAAACCCATTGCTAGTAGGACTAGGTCAACCTCAATGATCTCCTCAGAGCCCTCGATTTCCTTGAATTGGAACTTCCCAGTAGCATCCTTCTCCCATTTGACACGAACCAGCTCAAGTCCTTTCACAGCCCCATTCTCATCTCCCACAAATCTCTTAGTAAGCACCTCATAAGATCTTGGATCTTTGCCAAACTTAGCTGCAACTTCTTGGTGCCCGTAATCTACACGGAATACACGAGGCCACTGCAAACCCAAAATAAAGAAAATAAATAGGCGAGACATCTAAGGAAACACATGACTAAACTCAATGGCATTTCTTCTATTTAAAGCAAGCAATCCAACTTCATGACATTTCATAACCTAACGTGCATGCAGAGAACCACAAACAATGAAATTGACATGCCAAGGAAATCACAAATGGATCCCAAGAAAAACCAGACAAAAATTCACAAAAATCCAACCTGTGGCCAAGGGTTTCCTGGAGCCCTTGTTCGTGGTGGCTGAGGGAGAAGCTCCAAATTTATGATGCTACTACAGCCATGTCTAACGGATGTTCCTATGCAATCAGTGCCAGTGTCACCTCCACCAATTACCACAACTTTCTTGCCCTTAGCAGAAATATAGTTACCATCCTGAAGATTGCTATCTAGTAAGCTTTTGGTGTTTGCGTTAAGGAAATCCATAGCAAAATGAACACCTGACAACTCTCGCCCTGGTACAGGAAGGTCCCTGCACAAAAAAATGAATTTTAAAAAAAATTCACTACTGTTAACCATATTCAAATAATACCTTAGACACAACAACATTACACAATTATAAGTTACCTTGGTCTTGTTGCTCCTACTGCTAAAATAATGGCATTATTCTCCTCTCGAAGGCGATCAAGCGAGTACAAAGGATCATTTCCAACACTAGCATTAACCACAAAGTTGACACCTTCCTCAGCCATAAGGTTAACCCGCCGTTGAACTATATCCACTTTGTCAGCCTTCATATTAGGAACTCCATACATCATGAGCCCTCCAATTCTATCAGCACGCTCATACACAGTCACCATATGGCCTAATCTGTTTAGTTGATCAGCAGCAGCTAGACCAGCTGGTCCGCTTCCAACAATGGCAACCCTTTTCCTGTAATTATAAACATATCAAACTGATGATTCATGCATAGAGAATCTACAAAATGAAAAATAACTCAACATATTCTGACAAGACAATCCAAGATAGCATCGCTCTTAGGCTGAGAAGAAAAGTATACCCAGTTCTCTTGAGAGGAGGTCGTGGAACCATCCAACCTTCCTCAAAAGCCTTGTCTATGATGGCACATTCGATGCTTTTGATAGATACAGGATTCTCAATAATACCCAGAACACAGGAACCTTCACAAGGTGCCGGGCAAACTCGACCGGTAAACTCAGGGAAGTTATTTGTCTCTAGAAGTCTCTCTAATGCTTCATGCCACCTATTCTGGTACACCAACTCATTGAACTCGGGTATTTTGTTACCAAGAGGACATCCAGAGTTCTCCTGCAATTTTATTTGAAAGATCAGAATTAGTAGAGACAGTGTATCCGTAACTAGATAATGCTTGATAACTAGCAAAATGGGTCAAAAAAAGATACAAGTTCCTACCTGATGGCAGAAAGGAGTGCCACAGTCCATGCAACGGGCTGACTGAGTCTTTAATAGTGGTCCAGGTTTAGTTTCCTCCATAACTTCCTTCCAGTCATTCATCCGAACATTAGGATCCCTATATTGAACGCCCTCACGCTCATAAGAAATAAAACCGCGATGTTTGACAGCATCGCTGACCTGAGAAGGCCTCTTCAATATTTCAGAATCTTCTACCGTCTGCAAATATAACTCTCATATTAGAACCTTTTTAGATTATGCAATCCGTAGTGCTTACCAGAAAGCAAAATCCAAATAATCAAATCAATATTTTTGTGTACAAATGTGACCCAAGTGGGCTTGTAATGATATGAAGACTTTCTTCAATTGTGCCAACAGGAAACCATGTCAATACTACACAAAGATCAGAGAATTGAGGTTCCACATATTAATGACAGTAGTAGCATAGTGAGTGAGAAAAGCAACCGGAAGGAAACCAAAAGTTAAAAACATAGAGAGGAGGGGGGGAGGAGGCAGAAGTTCTCAAATTTAAGAGTAAAAAGTTCAATTACCTGATTGGATTTCCCATTTAATGATGATGCAGCTGCCAACTTCTTAAGTTCTTCAAAAGCATCTTTCTCAATTAACTCTGGTTCGTCTTGCTCAGCTTCATCAACAGCATCCTGTTTGGAGGCTTCGTCTTTCATATTTGCAAGAACACGCTTGTACTCTCTTGGGATAACCTTGATAAACTTAGGCAAAAGATTGCCAAAATCAGCCAGTACTTGACTGGCCAGCAAGCTGTTTGTGTGCCGTTGATGCTGCTGTATCATCATTTTAAGGGTCATCACATCTTCTTCTTCAAGTTTATCAAGATCTACAAGCTCGAGATTGCATCGGGACCGAAATTGTCCATCCACATCAAGAATGTAGGCAATACCACCACTCATACCAGCAGCAAAGTTCCTGCCAGTTTTCCCAAGCACCACAACAGTGCCACCCGTCATGTATTCACAACCATGATCCCCAACACCTTCAACAACTGCCCTAGCCCCAGAATTGCGAACACAGAATCTTTCTGCTGCCATTCCATTGAAGTATGCCTCTCCACTAGTTGCACCATAAAGAGCAACATTACCGATCACAATATTTTCTTTCGGATCAAACTTGCTTTTCTTGGGAGGATAAACTACAATCTTTCCACCTGACAATCCTTTTCCAACATAATCATTGCTGTCACCTTCAAGCTCAAGAATGATACCCGGGCACAGGAATGCTCCAAGACTTTGTCCTGCACTTCCATTGAATTTTATATGGATAGTGTCAGCAGGAAGCCCTTCCCTGTTGTAACGTTTGGTCACCTCATGGCTAAGCATTGTCCCAACAGCACGATTCACATTGCAAATAGTTGTTTCAAAGTATACAGGAAGAGACTTTTCAATAGCAGCCTTGGACAGAGAAATTAGTTTGTGGTCAAGAGCCATGTCCAAACCATGATCTTGTTTCTGGACACAATATTGTGCAGCGTCAGGCCGAAGGTCTGCTGCAGGTCTAAGTAATAAGGATAGATCAATGTTATCAAGCTTTTCATTGTTTCTAGTCACTTCTTTATCGACTTCAAGCATATCTGAACGACCAACCATCTCATTTAAAGTACGGAAACCAAGCTGTGACATTATTTCTCTCAATTCTTCTGCTACCATAAAGAAAAAATTAATGACATGTTCTGGTTCTCCTGCAAACTTCTCACGAAGTACTGGATCTTGGGTTGCAATGCCAACAGGACAGGTATTCTTATGGCACTTCCGCATCATAATGCAGCCAAGAGTTATGAGGGGTGCTGTGCTGAAACCAAACTCTTCTGCACCAAGAAGTGCGGCTATGGCAACATCTCTTCCAGTTTTTAGTTGGCCATCTGTCTGAAGAGTTGTGCGACCGCGAAGATCATTAGCAACCAAGGTTTGATGTGTCTCAGCCAAACCAAGTTCCCATGGAAGCCCAGCATTCTTAATACCCGTCCATCTAGAGGCCCCTGTGCCTCCATCATGTCCAGAGATTAACACATGGTCAGCATGCCCCTTCACAACTCCACTAGCAACTACTCCCACACCTACTTCAGATACTAACTTTACGCTAATTCGAGCTGCCGGGTTAGCATTCTGCAGATCAATGAAATAGAATTATGATCCAAATAAAACATGCATTTAGTAATGGGAGTGAAACAGGGGAGTGGGAGCACGGAAACAGCGAATACAACAAGGGAACATACCTTAAGATCATGAATTAATTGAGCAAGGTCTTCAATCGAGTAGATATCATGATGAGGAGGTGGACTGATGAGACCCACACCAGCAGTAGAATTCCTTGTAACAGCAATGTCTCCAATAACCTTGTGCCCAGGAAGCTCACCTCCTTCACCAGGCTTGGCCCCCTGTGCAACAAATAAATTCAGTTAAAATTCAGTTAGGTATCAATTAACAGGAATAGTGCACCAGACATTAGCATTTAGATTTGTATCACAACTATATATACCTGAGCCATTTTTATCTGCAGTTCATCAGCATTAGTAAGATAGTAACTTGAAACTCCAAATCTGCCACTAGCAACCTGCTTAATTGCACTCCTCTTTGGGTTTCTTGAACCATCTGGAAGTGG